AGTGCCACCCTTGCCACGCTCTCCGACCCTGGCACGCATAGAGACCGCGCTGAGGGACCACCCCCTGCGCACCCTTTCTGGTGTCGAGAAAGTGTCACGCATGCCGTGCCCTGCGCCATGGCCTGCTGAGCTGTGCTGTGCTGAGCTGAGCTGTGCTGAGCTGTGCTGAGCTGTGCTGTGCTGTGTGTGTGGGGGGAGGGGAGGTGTGTGTGAGGAGACGCGGGTGCGACGCGGCAGAGAAGAAAACCATAACCCCACGAAACATGTGGGGAACAACGGATTTGCCACATGTTTGAAATTCGGTGGCACCCCTCACGCAGATCGGCGGGTCAGGGTCCACAAGCACAAAGGATTTGCCACATGTCTGACATTCGGTGGCACCCCTCACGCACATTGGCGGGGTCAGGGTCCAAAACCAAATGGGATTTACAACAATTTTGGCATTTTGCGGCACCCCTCACGCAGATCGGCGGGGTCAGGGTCCAAAGCACACGGGATTTGCCACATTTCTGAAATTCGGTGGCACCCCTCACGCAGATCGGCAGGGTCAGGGTCCAAAAACACAAGGGATGTGCCACATTTCTAAAATTCGGAAACACCCCTCACGCAGATCTGCAGGGTCAGGGTCCAAAAACAAATGGGATGCGCAACATTTCTGAAATTTGGTGGCACCCCTCACGCAGATCCGTAGGGTCAGGGTCCAAACACACAGCGGATTTGCCACATGTTTGAGATTCGGTGGCAACCGTGACGCAGATCCGTAGGGTCAGGGTCGAAAAACAAACAGGTCCCGATCCTGCTTCACGGCGGCGCCCAGACCTCATCATTTAGCTTTTGCATCTCCCACTATCCGAGACAGGGGGCCAGCGGCATGGGGCGAAGCCCTTACGGATATATATATATATATATAAATAAATATATACACACCCATATCTCGTGTGTGCACCCATACATACTTACTTACATACATACATACATACATACAAACATACATACATACATACATACATACATACATACATACATACATACATACATACATACATACATACATACACACACACATACATACATACATACCTACCTACCTACCTACATACATACATACATACATACATACATACATACATACACACACACACACATACATACATACATACATACATACATACATACATACGTACATACATACAATCATACATACATACGTACATGCATGCATGCATGCATACAGACAGACAGACATACCCAAGGTAATATCATGCCACACGGTGAGGTCATTGGATAAATAACCCTTCGATACATAATCGAGGGTCTGAAAGCAAGCGGAACACCAAGTGAGGCTTGGCCATGGATGCCACAGCCGCCCTCATCACATGAGGACTGTTCCAAGGACTGAAACCTCCCAGGCACATTCCTCAACGAACGCTCCCGTTGGGGCCGCTATCGCCCCTCTCCCCTGGACGGGCTTTTCTTCCCGAATCGCTTCTTCACAATCCTGTGGTCCAGCAGCGCCACCCCGGGACGCCAAAAACTGTGAAAAATATCATTTGGACGCCCGAAATGGGTACGGAAAGAATGGGTACAATGCCCACCAACAATTGTTGTCCCAAACCAACAGCGGCCGCTGTTGGGCAGGGTCTCGACTGGACACAGGCCGCGGCGGCGTGGACAGCGAGTCCTGTTCAAGATGAACAGGATCCGCTGTTGGGCCTTGTACCCATTCTTTCCGTGCCCATTTCGCTCGTGCAGATATCAGGCGCTACCTGCAAATCGCCGAAGATCCCAGGGAGAGCCGCGGGGAGACGCCACCAAAGGTCCCAAGGGGGGGGTCCGCAGGGGCTCCTCCCCCATGGCTCTGCGGAGGCCTGCGGAGGTATCCCGAAGAAGCCGAGAGTGAGACAAGCCATGGGCTTCCCGCCACATGTCTCTGGTGACCTGGGGCGCCAAGGAGGTACCTGGGTAGAGGGCCCAGAGCACTGCAAGATTGAAGGGGAACTGGGACACAGAAACAAATACGCACAAATAACAGGATTCCCCATGTGTTTCCAACAGTTTCTGGGATTATGTTTTCCCCCCCCCACTTCGCATATTTCCTGACATTGTCTGGGGAATCGACGATTAATTGTGCATATGTGTTTTTCCTCCTGAAAGATAGCAACATCGCTACGGCGAACTCGAGTCGTGTCGACATACGCCTTGGCTTCAACCTTCGACCTGGCACTGCGTGGATCGTTCAACCTTGAACGATCGCGGACTTACGATAACGCAAATCGTTCGATGACAGCCGATTCTGGGCCACTGGCGGCGTTCAAGCTTGAACGACCGCGCTCAGGACGCCGCCGCGTGGACACGACGCGAACCTATCGCACTTTGTGACACAGGCCTCTCGTTGAGATGCTTTCCGACCAGGCTCCCGATGCGAATCCAGACGCGGTGACGTGGGCCGCCAAGGAAGTCCCCGAAAGGGAAACATGAGGAGAGGGTATCGTTGTCAGTAATCCAAATTGCACGAGAGAGCCACCGATGGTTCATCATTCCATGTTTTTTCAACGCTTCCGCTCTAGCCACTGGTGCAGATCTGCCGCGGTCTCAAAAACGCCTCGGGAGACCGAGAAAGGATCCTCGGAACCCTAAGCCGAGGATTCAAGCTGGGACTTGGGCCACACCACGGCCCACGAGAGGTGGGAACGGCTCGGGGCCTGAACTGGGCGTGGACGTAGGCGAGAGATATGCGCAGAAGCACGAAACACGGCACAACCACAAACACTCGGAGTTCCGACCCCACTTCTCCAGGAGATGAACTGGCAGAGCTCACGTCGGTCGCAAGAAGCAGGTAAAAATATAACAGTAGGAAGGCGGACAACGTGGAGTGGGCCCAGGCCCCCCCAGAGCACAGCAAAACACGGTAAAATCATACCGATTCTCGAAGTAGGCAGGCGCTTGAAGCAGATTGGGCTCTGGGAGCCCCAAAGAAATACCTGCTTTCGACGACCGGCGGCCAAGGTGCACGCTCGGAGGTCCGCGCGGCGTTCTCGGACCCGCGCGAGGCACCCCCCTCGCTCCCCGGTGCGCGCACGCGCCAGAGGGCGGCGCCGGAGGGCGCCAGCGCCGATCCGGGAACCTGGCGCGGGCCTGCGAGAGCCTGTCTGCTCACGCCTGTTCCCCTGGACCCACTCCTGGGTTATGTCGGGCCTGCCCCCCTACAGGGAGATTTTCAACGAAATATAAGAAATACCTCAAACATAATCAAACAATGCTAAAAAAATAGTCTGGAGACTATTTTTTGAATACTTTTTTGTACCTTTTTGGTGTATTTTTGGGGTATTTCTAATTTTTCATCGAAAATCCCTCTGTAGGGGGACAGGCCCGACATGACTCTTGGGTGTGAGGCGCTGGAGGCGCCGCCAAGATCAGTCCAGGATCAAGGGCCTGGCGGCATCTCCTGCCCCTCGACCCGCGCTGGGGCCTCCGCGAGCTTTCCTCGCTCGCCTGTGCACACCCAGGATCAGGAAGCATCGAATCGGCGAATCGGAGCGTATCGAAATGTGCGTCGGACCAGGCTGCATCGGTACGGAATCGAAATCGAACCAGATGGGCTGCGCCACGATGCACGACAGCGCCATACAAACATCGGGCCGCCTCAGATCGTAGGAGCACTGGAATCGAATCCGATCGGCTAGCTGGGAGGCGCCGGCCTGGACGCTCCGCGCCGACCTCCGAGAGTTTGTGGCTGCCCAGACGTCCGACGTCGTGAGTGCGGGTGGGCACGACTAACCAGCATGGCGAAGGACTCAACCACATGCCGCTCCGAGCATCGCGAGGCAGATCAGAAGCAGGAGGAGGAGGGCGAATGAGGACACGCGGGGGCAGGGGCGACTCCCGAGGGAGACATTTCTTGATGGCGCTCGCAGGATGCGAGCCTGTCGCCCGCAAGGAAGCGGAGCTGAGAGGAGTCCCCGCGACGCGCTCTGGTCGCCCCGAAGGAACTCCAGCGACGCAAGCGGGTCGTCCGCGGCACGGGACTAAAAAAGCGGCCGCCAGGGCCTTCGGAGGAGCTCCTGGTGGGGCCGCGGAACGTTTGAGGCGTGTCGTGACGGGCGGGGGACCGCATACGATGACTGCCAACGGGGCCTTGGGCGGAGCTCCCTGTGGGGCCACGAAAGGTCTGAGGGCGTGTGTCGCAATGGGCGGGGAACTGCATGCGAGGACGGCCTCTGGGGTCTCAGGCAAAGCTCCTGGTGGGGCCGCGAAACGTGTGAATGGTGCTCCACGATGGGCGAGGAACCGCATACGAGGACGGCCACTGGGGCCGTAGGTGGAGCTCCCTGCGGGGCCACGACAACGTGTGAGGAATGTGTCGAGATGGGCGGGGAACTCCACACGAAGACTGCCTTTGGGGCCTCAGGGGGGGCTCCATTTAAGGCCACAAAGCGTTTGAGGGGTGTGTCAGCATGGGCATGCGGAGGGCGGAGGTAGGGACGGGAGGAGGGAGCGGGAGGAGAAGGGGGGGACGCGCGACGTTCTCTCGGCAAAACGAGGAGCCAGCACAAAATGGTTGAGAACATCAATGGCACGCTGACGCGGCACAGCCATCAATGTGTTCACTGTTGGCCGCCGGGCGAACACGAAGGAGTGAACACGCTGACGGGCTGCCAACGGCGGCGTGCCATTGCTACGCTTCATCGCGGTCGCTCGGGCGTCAATTCCTTGTAATTTTTTTCGGCTTTCAGCCTGGACTGGGGAGAGCAAAAGGCACCGACACCGCCACTCCCCGGGCCTCTCCCGGGGTGGGCTCCGACCAGGAATTTCGAGGCGCATCGAGCGGCGGTGCCGAGGGCCCGACCAGGAGGCCCCACAACACGAGGACAACGCGCGGAGGGTCGCGGCATGGGGTACCTTTTCTTCCTCTGATGGACAGCTCCGGGCGCCGACGAAGGAACGACGTCGCGAGGACGTCGCGAGGACGTCTGGCTGTGCCGTGCTCCGCTCTTCGGGGC